CCTGCGCAACGAAGAGAGAAACTGCTCAGATAGTAGCTAAGAAATTAGTATCAGAAATAGTTCCCCTATTCGGCTTGCCATTAGCACTGGGGTCCGACAATGGCCCGGCGTTCATCGCCAAAACAAGTCAAACCTTAGCCAGAATATTAGGTATTAATTGGAAACTACACTGTATATATAGACCTCAGAGTTCAGGCCAGGTAGAAAGAATGAACAGGACTTTAAAAGAAACTTTAACCAAGTTTAAACTTGAAACTGGCGAGAACTGAGTGAGCCTCCTTCCTTTTGCCCTTCTTAGGGTGAGATGTACCCCTTAACTCCAAGGCCTCACCCCATATGAAATCACGTTTGGGAGACCGCCACCTCTCCTACCCAAGATAGGGGTAGAAAAGGCGACTGAAATTCACAATTTCTCACTACTTAAGTCCTTACAGGCACTACACTTGGCAAGAAAAGAAATTCAACACTTAGTTGAATCTCCACCATCCGGGAGAGCCCTGGACAGTCACTTAAACCTCATAGCCACTCTCCTGGTGACTGGATGTGGGTGAAGAAGATACAGCCAGCTGCCTTTGAGCCCCGCTGGGACGGACCCTTTCCTGTCATCCTCACCACTCCCACCGTGGTCAAAGTTGCTGGGAGACGCCATTGAATTCATCACACCCGCAGCAAGGCTGCTCAACCACCACCAGAGACTGAGAGATGGCGTGTCCGCCCAACAGGAGACCCTCTCAAGATAATACTCTCGCGGGTTTAATTATAATTGGATTAATTGCCAATAATAATGTAAGAGGGAATCCTCATCAACCTTTGCAGGCCAAATGGGAGTTAATTAGATCAGAAACAGGCGCTCCCATATCGGTTAATCAGACTATGTATCAGCCTACATTCCATGCAGATCTATGTGACATACTAGGAAAAGGATTTAATACTATACCCAAGGATTTACCTAGGGGTCCAGGAGCTAGTTTTTGACTGGCCCCTGGTATGGTTGTGGATATCCAGAATGGGAAAGGGGTGTCCAACAAGTACAATTATATATGTGCCCTAGAGAGGATCAAAGCACTTGCAATAAGCCTAATCAATATTATTGTGCCAATTGAGATTGTGAGACCATAGCCCCCTGGAAAAATACTGACCCTTTCCTGACTCTCACCCGTCCTAGTCAATCCTCTTGTACCACCTCAGGAAAATGTAATCCTGTCATTCTCACTGTGAAACAATGGACAAATCCATCCTGGCTTACAGGGAAAACATGGGGTCTAAGGTTATATGTTTCTGGAACAGATCCAGGGTTACTCATAACAATTCAGAAGAAACCAGTTAAGACCCCCGTACATCTGATTGGGCCGAACTCATTTCTGAATCCAAGCCCATACAGGCCAAGACCT